TGATGTTCCAAGCATTATTTTTTGCTCTATAGATTCTGTCCTTCATGAAGCAGAAATACAAACAAACATACAAATATTGAAGAAAAAAACGAAGAAAGGGATTATTGTACCACAAAGTTTATTAGTTGAAAAAAAAGATGCTCGCATTGGTCCTGACAACGAATGGAAGGAGGGATTTCAGGGATTCGAAAATATAAAAGACGATTCTACGATGAAACAATTAGGTGGCATATCCTTGTCATTGTTTTTAATTTTAATGCAATTTATAAGGCCAAAAGCTATCGGCCAGCCGTCATTTTACAGAAGTTTATCAGCCGAAAACAGATTGCTTCTTTTTCTGATGAAAATGAAATTGGGAATTAGTTTCAGCGCTTTAGGGTGTATATTTAATATTTCTAAAGTTACTGCATCAAGTATTTTTTATAGCACTTTGAATACATTGTATGAAAACACAAAAACATGGTTATTTTGGCCATCAAGAGAAGCAATCAAGAAAACAATGCCACAATCGTTTGTTAATTATCCCAATTGCAGAGCAATAATAGATTGTACAGAACTAAAATGTGATACTCCTCCAACAGTCGAACAAAGGGCACTTATGTATTCCTCTTACAAATCGTGTTTTACCGTTAAATATTTAATAGCAATTAGTCCTTCAGGTTTAATAACTTTTGTTTCGAAAGGTTATGGCGGTCGTTCAAGTGACTCATTTATTACAAACGATTGTGGTTTTTTAAATTTAATTGAACCTGGCGATTTAGTTTTGGCTGATAAAGGATTTCCAGCGATAAGAACTGAAATTTTAAAACGGAAATGTACATTGGTAATGCCACCGTTTGGGTATAATCCGCAATTTACTTCAGAAGAAGTTCTTGAAGGCTATAAGATAGCCTCAGTGCGAATACACGTAGAAAGAGCAATTCAAAGAATAAAACTTTTTCAAATTTTACATCACATTAATATAGAGTGTTTACCTTATATTGACAAAATTGTTTATGTAGCATGTGTCTTAGCAAATAATAAAGAACCCCTTATATTGCGTGGTGAAGAAGAAAGCACATAAGTTTACAAGTAACAATTAATATATATTTGCTAAATAAGCTTCTTTACATTTATAAACAGAATGAAGGAAATATTTTACGTGCATATTAATATAAACATTGAATTAATAGTAAGTATTATTAGAGAATTAGTATTAGTATTTAGTATTAGTAGAGTATTGTAGTATTAGTATTATTGTAATAATAGTAATATTAATATTATTGTACGTATTAATAGGTAGATATTAAGATTTAATATTATTAATTAATTATATATTAAATTAAAAGAAATCACAAAGTGGACTTTTACTACGTGCACTTTTATGCATGCAAGATTTTTAAAAAATACTTAAAGTAAAACATTTCGATTTTAGGTATTAAGACACTTAAGAAATCGTCATCTCTAAATATTTTCAAATGAACAGAATCTAAATTAGAATAAACCACAAAATGACAAAGCTCAATTCCAATTATATATAAAGATAATTGAATTTGAGTGTAGTACTTGTGTGTTTTTTTCAATTCAATTGCTTTTTCGTTGTTAAAAAATAAATAGGGAACATATGTGATTTCTTTATCGTAATCAACAATTTTTGCATTTCGACAAGTAAATGGACACTTAATTTCAAGTAACTCATAATTATTTTCATTTCGAATGATTCCATCAGGACTGCAACCTAGAAAAGGCTGATCTATAGATATTATTAATCCTGTTTGATGTACAATAAAGTTAGTTTTCTCTTGAAACCATTGACGAGCTGTAGCTTCCATTTGCATACCATACCGCATAGCTTCTGATTGATAACCTTGGTATTTTTCGTTTTTAAATGTCAAAGCTAATTTATCGAAATTATCTGTACGAGTTTTTATTCGATGCGCCCTACTGCTTGCAGTTACCCTAATATACCGTTCTCTGTACCAAATTACTGTATCCGACTGATTAAATGACAGAAAACAAATATCTTTCCACTGTACTTCATCCAGAGTTACTTCTTCAGCATAAAATTTTTCATGTTTTGCGGGACATTTCATTACTCTCATTTTTAGGCAAATATTATTTTCAAGGATTTCGTAAGCATGATACAGTTTAAATTGTTTTTTTGTTTGTACTTTAAACAATTGTTCAATTAAATCTTTTGATCGTTTTTCTTGTTCCATAACAACTAATGAATTTTTGCCTTTTTCAATTTCACAGCTAAGTTCAGCTTTTACCGCAAAAATCATTTCAAAATTTTGACTCATGTGAAATTCATTCTGAGTAACTGCGACGATATCTTCGAAGGAATAATTTTGCTTATGAACGATATTTCCTTCCATTGATGGAAAAAGCGAATCAATTGTACACGTTTTTTTATATTTTTGTAATTGTTCTTCAGGTGGTCGATTCCACAGCATAGGTTCGTCGGTTTTTGATCTAAAATTCTCTTCGTTCACAAAAATACAGACCGCTGCTGCATGCTTGCAATATCCCTTTCCAGCTTTACACGTACACGAGCAATTTAAGATTTCTCTATCATTATTTAACTGAAATATCAATATTTCCTATATTAAAACCAATAATTGGTTTCAAAATTGAGACATAAGACGTCTTAAAATCGTCATAAACACGTCTAATGTCCCGGTTTCGGACATGTTTGCAGATGTGTGCTATCTGGGTATATATATATTACTATATTATGTGTTATACCTCGATTACAGGTTTATAAAAATTTGTATTATTTTTGGTGCTAAATCCACTAGGAGTTTCTCTCAAAACTGTCCCTCGCAATATTCTTTTAAATTGCAAAACTTCTTCGCTAATATGACCAACATGATTGCTGTAAAACAGTTTTTTCCCTTTTGAAACACTTTTCTTTCTAAATAAATTTAACTTCACGCTTTGAAATCCACATTTAATAATTACGGACATTGTTAAACGTAAGTGTTATGCTAAGATATGCAAATAAATGCGTTTTGTCAAAACTATTTATTACGTGTCACTTACATCTCTCCCGGAAAAAGTTGAGAATTATTACGCGAGATGGCGCGGCGTCCGCCTCAAACAGATGCTTAACTAGCGTATACTCAAGTAATTTCATATGATCAGTCTTGTCGCGATCGCTTGTACTGACGGTCAACTTCTCAGAGCCTAGAGAGCGAAAATGTTCTCCTTTGAAGGATGCAACAGCAGCAGCAGCAACAACGGTGCAAAACGCGTGAATGCCGTGAATTATTACGTGCCGATTCACAACGTTGAAACTCAAACGTATGAGGCCAGATGCAATAGGTAAGTTTCGTTTGAGAGAAAATTAACATATAGAGTCTCCCCCAGTTTTTATATCTTTGCATATTGTAATACTTATGAAAATAAAATTATTTTCATTTCTTTTATCCAGCATTTCGGGGGACCGTCGCGCGGTACGTATACTCAGCAGACGATACGCGCTGACAGCTACGGGATACAAATTCCTCGAAATTGGCATCAACGTGGGTCCACCGAGCTACGTGGAGATCGCCGTTGGAGATCATCGAGGAAAGGAACTGCTGTTGTCTCTCGAAACGTGGAAGGCACTCTACGAGCAACGACAAAATATTCAGAATTTCTTTCGCAACGACTTCAAAGATGTCCATAGTTTTGTAAGATTGATGTTGCGCCGTGCTTGAGTAGGCTGTAAGGTATGATTGGTCGCTTGAGATACAGATATGCGCCGTAGCGCTCTGCGCATGAAGAAGCGCCCGGATTGGCGGAGAGCGAGGAAGACGAGTGAGTCGATGCACAGACGTTGGATCAAGTAGGCGTCTTGCTGCATCTTGCTGTGGAATAAATTACCCTTTCCATATTTATCAGAAATTATTGTCTCTCACCTATCTACATCCATTCCTGACATCTCCCCGTGAAACTAACTCGCGGTCAGTG